CTACAGGAAAATAGGGGGAAAGGGGACAAGAGAGCAGGGGGATGATAGAGAGGAGGGCAGATTGGGAAAGGGGTTAATCAGAAGTAAATACTTCTGAGGAGAGACAGGGTCAAAAGAAAGAATAGAATAAATGGGAGGGCAGGATAGGATTAAGGGAAATAGAGTTAGTTTTTCACAACATGTCTGCTGTGGACGTGTTTTGCATAACTGCACATGTACAACTATATTGAGTTGCTTGCCTTTTCAATGAGGGTGGGTGGGGAGGGAGGAAGAGAGAAAATTTGAAACCTAAAGTTTTAAAAATGTTTAAAAAAATGTTTTCACATGCTACTGGGAAATAAAATAGGAAATGGGGTACAGAAGTCTATCCTGCCCTACAGGAAAATAGAAGGGGAAGGGGATAAGAGAAGGGGAGAGAGACAGAAGAGAGGACAGAGTAGGGGAAGGGATATTCAGAATGCATGCCATCTTGGGGTGGGGGGAGGGGGGAGATGGGGTGAAAATTTGGAACTCAAAAACTTGTGGAAGGGAATGTTGAAAACTAAAAATAAATAAATTTATATTAAGAATAAATAAATAAATAAATTTTTAAAAAAGAGACAAAGAAGGAAACTACAATCTCCTAAAAGGTACCATAGATAATGAAGTAATATCAATACTAAACACATACACACCAAACAGTACAGCATCTATATTTCGAAAAGAGAAGTTAAATGAGTTACAGGAGGAAATTTACAGTAAAACTACTCTAGTGGAGGACCTCAACTTTCCCTTCTCAGAACTAGATAAATCTAACCACAAAATAAACAAGAAAGAACATAAGGAGGTGATTAGAATTTTAGAAAAATTAAGCTATGACAGACCTCTGGAGAAAACTGAATGGGGAAAGAAAAGAATATATCTTTCTCCTAGGTGGATGTGGCACTTACGCAAAAACTTAGCATGTATTAGGGCATAAAAACCTCACAACCAAATGCAGATATGCTAAATGCATCCTTTTCAGATCATGATGCAATAAAAATTACATTTAAGAAAGGGTCATGGAAAGAGAGATTAAAAATTAATTGGAAACTAAATAATCTAATCCTAAAGAATGAGTGGGTCAAAGAACAAATCATAGAATCAATAATAATTTCATTAAAGAGCATTTTAACAGTGAGGCAATATACCAAAATGTGTGGGATGCAGCCAAAGCAGTACTTAGGGGAAATTTCTAGATCTAAGTGTTTACATCAATAAAATAGATAAAGAGCAGATCAAGGAATTGGGCATGAAATTAAAAAAAAAAAACAGAAATAGAACAAATGAAAAATCTCCAATTAAACATCAAAATGGAAATCCCAAAACCAAATGTGAGATTAAGAAAATTCAAAAAAAAATAATAAATAAAACTAGGTGCTGGCTTTATGAAATAGTAACAAAATAGGTAAACAATTGGTTAACTTGATCGACAAAAAGAAAGAAAACAAAATTACCAGTTTCAAAAATGAAAAGGTAAATGCATAATCAATGAAGATGAAATTAAAGCAATGATTAAGAGTTATTTTATCATATGCCAGCTAAACTAATAATCTACATGAAATGGATGAGTACTTGCAAAAATATAAACTGCCCATGGTAACAGAAGAGAAAATAGAATTCTTAAATAACCCTATCTTAAAAGAAGAAATTGAACAAGGCATAAATGAGTTCCCTAAAAAAAAAAAATCCCCAGGACCACTTGGATTTTAAAGCGAATTCTACTAAACATTTAAAAAACATTTCATTCCAATACTATATAGACCAGAGGTTCCCAAACTTATTTGGCATACCACTCCCTATTAAAAAAATTTCCTCAGAGCCCCCCTGGAAATCTACTTTATTTAACTCTTTAACATTTTTCTTTTTAATTTGTGTCATTTCAAAAAAATATAAAATATATTTTTTAAAAAATGATGCATCTTAAGTGTAATAATTTACTGTAAATCTTTGGGTTTTTCCTGCATTGAAATTTTGATGATATAATACTGTGTCATGTAACCATACAGTACTGTATTGTAAACAAGTCATTACACTCACATATTCCTGCTGATGCATGCTGGACTTCCCGACAATGCACTATACACCCCCCTGCCAACACCTGCTTGTTAAGACCTGTCAGTGGACTTGACTACTGATCAGTTATAGCTTGCATTTTGTGTGTTTATTTGGAAAATAATGTAATCACTATGACTTTAACTCTGTTACACAACAGATGAAACATGTACGAACAGTTTAATTTTCTTATCTTCTCTTCCTTCCTTCTTCCAGTGCCCCCAGGGGGTGGTATTACTCACTTTGGGAACCTATGAAAACTATTTGAAAAAACAAGTAAAGAAGGAATCCTATCAAATTCCTTTTATGGCACAAATATGGTTTTGATGCCTAAAGAAGGTTGTGGGAATATACACACACTAATACACTGTTGGTAGTGCTATGAAATGACATATCCATTTTGGAATGTAATTTGGAATTATGCAAAGAAAGTAACAAAAATGTCCAAAGCCTTTAAAACAAAGACTCCATTACACCCAAAGAATCCATCACTAAGAAAAAAGTCCCCATATACTCCCAAATTTCTATTACAGCACTTTTTGTAACAGCTATGAATTGGAAACAAAGGAGAAGCTCATCAACCGGGGAATGGCTAAACAAGGCATGAAACATGGATGTCATGGAATACTACTACTATGCTGTAAGAAATGATGTGTGTGATGAGTACTGAGAGATATGGAAAGATCTTTGTGAACTGATGCAAAGTGAATTAAGCAGAGCCAAGAAAACAGTATATATACATGAACTACAACAATTTAAGTAGAAAGAATGACACACCAAAAAATTAGAAGTACCTCTAATAAAATGTTAAAGATCAAGTGGGACTGAAAAGGAAGCATGAGAAGACACCATTGCCCCACCCTGTCCAGGAGGTGAGAGGTCCCCAGGTGTTACATATTGCACACATTTTCCCACATGCATCAATCAGTTGTGCTCACTTTTCTTTTCCTTCCTAAACCAAAAATTACTATTTGTCACATGGCATGGTTCTCAAGGATGGGAGGGATACATAGGATACCCTGGTGATGTAAGGAACAGAAAACATCAACAAAAAATTTTAAAAAGAGGTCAAGTATCTGAAGGGCAATAATGGAAGGGGAGGAAGGAAGGAAGAAAGGGGTTTGGGTTAGCTATTATCAGTAGCAGATCTCAAACTATACTACAAATCAATGATTATGAAAACAATTTTTGTTGTTGTTTAGTCCTGTCTGACTTTTCCTGACTCCAATTGGGGTTTTCTTGGCAAAGATACTGGAGTGGTTTGCCATTTCTTTCTTTATTAGTATTATTATTATTATTGTAGGCAATTGGGGTTAAGTGACTTGCCCAGGGTCACACAGCTACTAAGTGTCAAGTGTTTTGGTCTGAGTTCAAATTTGAACTCAGGTCCTCCTGACTTCAGGGCCACTGGGCCACCTAGCTGCCCTTGCCATTTCTTTTTGTAGCTCATCTGACAGATGAGGAACTGAGGCAAACAGGGTTAAGTGACTTGCTGAAGGTCACACACTTAGTAACTATTTGAGGCCAGATTTGAACTCAGGAAGATAAGTCTTCCTGACTTCAGGCCCAGTGGGACATCTCATTATCTAGAAAACAATTTTAACTTGTTAAAAATTGAAAGGCTGATCAATGGAAAAGATTAGGTATGCAATGTACAGAAGCAAACAAATAAAATAAGTGTTTAATAAATCCAAAGACTGTAGTTGGGGGGTGGGGCAGGGGAGGACACACTATTTGAAAAACAGTTTCCCAGAAATTTGATAGGACATCAACACCTCACACCACCTATCCAATTAAACTACAAATGAATACATAAATTAGGTGTAAAAGGGGGATCAATAGCAAATTAGGAGCAAGAAGGAAATTACTTTTCACATCTATGGATAGGGGAAGAGGTTATGACAGAACAAGCAACAGAGAGAATCACAGAAAATAAAATGGATAATTTGGCTTCTATAAAGTTGAAATGTTTTTGCACAAACAGATCAAATGCAGTGAAAATGAGAAGAGTTAACAAGTGAGGAAAAACATCTTTGTAGCAAAGTTCTCTAAGGACTGTTACATAGGCAAGATATAAAAGGAACTGATTCCAAATTCTAAGATTAAGATTCATTCTCCAATAGGTCAAAGGATATGAACAGGAAGTTTTCAAAGGAAGAAATCCAAGCTATTAATAGCCCTATGACAAAATGCTCCAAATGTCTCATAATGAGAGAAGTGCACATTAAAACAACTCTCTTCTTTCAGTCTGTAAACCACAGAGATCCTCAGGTGCAAGGATAGTCCCCTCCTTCTGTTCCACAACAAGTTACATAGAAACAACCTTTTCAGCAGGTGCTGGTTGAAGCCAGAATAATAAAAAAAAAAATTAAAGGCTACCAAACAAAAGAGATGATCTAGAGAAGGGGAGGGGGAGTTCCTAGACTGTTTTCTCTCTCCCCAGCCCTGAGGCCAAGCAGGAAAGGAGGAAGAAAGGATAGAAACCTCCACTTGAGGAGGGGAGGGAGGGAGTGTCCCCAAATGTTTCTCACTGCTGGCCTCCACCGCACCCCATCTAACCCCACGACCCTCTAAGCACCTAGCCCTCCAGACAAAGGCTTGGGCAGGTAGAAAGCCTCAGGCTGGAGCAGCCCTGGAGTAGGCACACACAGGTTCACCCCTGAACGAACACACACATACACATACACATACACACACACACACACAAACACAGATGATCCCACCTACATACACACCACAAATATAAACAAAAGTGGCAATACTCCCAGGACCTTCCACCCACCCTTACATCCTCCTGAGCACTAAGCAAAGCCAACTAGGAGAGAAGCAGTGGGCTTCATGAAAAAGTGGGAGGGGGAGGAGAGAGGGGAAGAGAAGATAAGAAGAAAGGAAGGGGCTGAGGCAGGAGCAGGGGAGGGGGTACTTACTTCACAGCCACTTAGGCATTAGCAGGATCCTCAGAGTCGGTCAATCTGGAAGATGTGGGTAACGGAAGGGTGGGGTGTGGAAGGGTGGGGGAAGGCAAGTGAGTGAGAGGCAGGCAGACCTCCAGGTGCTCACTCCAGTCACATCCTAGTCCAGAGACAAAGAGGACTTACCTTAATAGAGGGTGGGAGGGGGCGGGCATTGTGACATCACTGCAAGGCGGGGCTAGTGCCAGAGCAGAGGGGGAAGGGAGAAAGGAGGGGAGGGGGCTCTGTGACATCAGGCCCAGAGCAGTGCTGAATCCCCCTAGTTGTTTCTCTCAGCCCCCATCACCCAAACTAGTTAGGGGAGGGCCCGCAGTGCATCCTCCACCTGGACCAGGGTCCCAGGTTCCTCAAAGTAGCCTGCCAGGGCTAGGGCAGAGGGAGAGCAGCTGAACTCAGCTAAGGGTTGTGGAGGGTCAAAACTGGGAGAGGGAGGGCAAGGATGGGGAGGTGGGGTTAAGGGAGGGCTGTCCTGGGCTCCACAAAAGGAAAGAGCACAGTGGCTGCAGCAGCATCTGCAAACCAGCAGCCCTTGTGAATGGGACTTGGATTCCTCACAACCCCCAGAGCACAGGGTGAAAGGGGGAAGGGGCGGGTCTCAGCCTCCTTTCTCCAGGCAGGAGGAGACAAAGATCAGGCTGAAGGGAGGGGGAGCACCTAGGGAGGCAGCCCGTCTGCCCTGCATTGTTTGTGTGTGGGTACCCTGGTCTAAATCCTATATAATATAAACTTTCCAGAACTTGGACAAGAGGGAGCCACACCCTCCTTTCTGGCTCAGTCTCCTCTACCCAAGGACTTAATAAATTTCTTTCTAAAACTATTTCAGATTTGGGGTTTTATCCTCTCCAACACCAGCCACCCTGCCACTCCTGAACTGACATAGTGGATAGACAACTGGAACTGGAGTCACAAGACCTAGACTGAAGTTGTGCCTTACTCATTGTGTGACCAGAGGCAAGCCACTTAAACTCTCTAAACCTCAATTTTCATATCTATAAAATGGGGGTGATAATAATACCTATGCTAAGTAAATTACAGGGTAGCTGTAAGGTTCAAATGAGATGTTTGCAAAGTGCTTTTCAAACCATGAAGCACTATAGAAGTGTTTATTATTATCATTATTATTCATCTCTGATAGTCTTTTTGATGAAGTTATATATCATGCTATTGATTCTTTTCTGTTTAGTGTTCTTCAGATCACTGCACAGAATCACTGTCATTTGTAACTCAATAAAAGTATTGGGATGTTAACTCACCTGCTGCAAGGCTCCCTGAACACATCTTTAGGACAATTCTAGGGAAACAGGACTGTAGGGATCACATGCTCCTCAGGCTGTTTCCATATCGTTTTCAGTTCTTCCCCAAGGTCTCTGATATGTTGCAAGCTTTTCATCCATGCAGCTTAGAGATTAGGAACACTTGATATGCTACTAAAAAACATTGTTCTTGATTTTTTATGGATCTTTGTTATGACTAGGAGATGGGGACGAGAGTTTTGCTCCAGGACAATATTCTAGTTCCAGTAAAATTTATTTTTGAATTCTCTAGGATATCCTGAGGTCTCCATTTGTAATATGAATATCTGTCATCTGGTCACTTTTGAAAGATCTTCAACTTCTGATGGATAATTCCAGCCACCAGTTCATGTCTTGCTAGGTATTCGTTAAGTACTGTTTTACAACCTGCAGTGGTGTTGCTCAGTTTCTATCATTTCCTTCTACAGTCTGTGCTGATTGCTAAATCTGGGCTCCTTAAGAACAATCTATAATTTCTACTAACAATGACCTGATGTGGAATTGTCATCAGAAATCCCCTCTATTTCTATAAACAAACCCAGACGATGAGCATGTGTTCTGTGGTTCTTTGTACACACATTGTTGGTGGAATTCATGTGTTATGTTACCTATGGACTGCATTTGGACTTCACTCTTGGATCTTTGCTATTTTATAGGCTTCTCCCAGAGACTGACCGCTTTCAGATACACTGGACACATCCAAGGGAGAGTATCTATTTAATTTTAACTTACTTTTACTATTGCTAAGTGAAGTGTTACATCTCTATGTTCCACAAGTATTTGTCAGGTTTAAACTTGCTTAATATGCACTTTTAATGAGAAGTGTTGATCTCTGTGTTTCATTATTAGGTAGATTTTTGTTAGGATACTTGGAAAGTATCTGTTTTTGTCCATTTTTGCAGAAATAGGAGAGGGCCTTTCTATACTAGGCCCTATCTAAGAGGGTGGCTACTTTAAGAAGGCCATCTTCTGAGAAGGAGACTGGGAAGCAGGAAAGGCTACCCCTGATTTGGCAGGCAGAGGGTTCTAAGGGATGGATGCATGACTTTGAGAGTTACAGGCATGGTTGTAGCTGAAGTGGTATTGGGCTACTGTGGTTCAGCCCATATAAAACAAGCAATGTATGGAGCTCCAGCCATGCTCTCTAAGCATGATCAGGAGACACCCGAGACTTTTGTTTCACCCAGACAGACTTCCTTTAGGAACAGAGAAAAGGGATTCTCACCAAAATCCAAGGATTTTCTGAAGGTCTTTAACCAGGAGCTCCCTCCTAGTTTTGTTGTCCTATAAGCATTCTACTGAGGACATCCCCTCCATTAAGAAGGGGTTCAGTTGGTTTTCTTAAAGGCATTGATAAAACATTTTTCAGTTAGGGCTTAAGTTGCTGTTATCACTATGGATACCCAAAGGCCAGAGAACACACAGTCAACATACAAGTATATACAGGAGTATCTCCATTGTTATACTGCACCCTTGTAGCAGGACTGGGGCTTCTTGTCAATAGCAGAGATTGCCAAGAATGACACATCATGTTCCACCTTCTGGAGTTTACCTTTTCAAATGCCTCACACTGTGTCTCTATGTATACCCATGGCAAAGATCACAGAGATGCAGCAGATGCCAGCCCTGCTGAAATGGGAGCAACATCTGGAAAAGGAAATCTGGGCTGTTCAGCATTTAGGCAGTACAGGTTTAGGGGAAGCAATGGGAAGGCAATCAATACTAAAGGCCTCCTAGTGGGAACCTTGTGACTGGGTCTAGCAAAATCACACACATACCCCTCCCAGCACACTGGCCCTTCCAGGCTTTAGATCATATATATTGAAGAGCTTTTACCCCAATTCAATAAGGAGAGAGTAAGGCTTCCCATATGGTATCACATTTCATTTCATTTAGCAACTGAATACACTATCACCCTCCTAGTTAGGATAACCCCAGAACTGAAAATTTTATCACTTTTTTAATGATTCATGTCTCAAGCTGTTATGTACACAATGCTAATTCCTGCAGTGTGATCTACCCAGGCCCTGGAGTCAGGAGGATCTGAGTTCAAATCTGGTCTCAGATATGTGGCCCTAGGCAAGTCACTTTACCCCAATTGCCTCACAAAAAAAGAGTGATCTACCCAGTGTGGAATGGGACAAGATGGGAATATAAGGAAGACCCTGATTTTAAAGCAGGGATGATGGTATTATTTGATGTAGTAGAGGGGATTCAGCATAATGTACAGAGATTAGTACATCTGTCATTCCCTTCCTCTCATCTTGGCTGAGGAGTTCTACCAGACCCACTTGCACCCGTAGAGAAGGACATGGAGGGCTCCATAGGAGGGGGATATTTTCAGTAAGCTGGACAAGAGCAATTGGGAGGATGAGAACCCCAAGCCAGATCAGCACTTTGCAAGGGACAGCTCCATGCAGCTGAGCTATTGTGACCCAGCACAAATTTGCTGGGAGAGGAACAACATTTGGTGTGCAGGAATAGGAAGATTTCCTCCATATTTCCAGCCCTGTGCAGGAACTGCTAGGGGAAGTAATTGCTTCAGGGGAGGGGCAGGGGAGCTGGATTGAGGAAGTTCCTCAAGGTTGGGATGTCAGTGATTGCCTTGAGGGGATAGCCTGAGTTCTGTGCATACAGCAGCATAGAAGAGTCAGGGATTGCAATAAGATAGAATCCAGGTGCCTGTTTGCAAGAGAAGCAGGTGACTGTGGCAGAGCAGGGGTCTTGGGAATCAGAGCAACATATCTGGGACTATGATTGAGAGGAAAGGATGGCTTGAGGCGGACAGTGGAGGAAAAGAGAGACACTGTTGAGTATTAGATGTGTGACCTAAAGATTATTAGGTGTCCCTCTACCACCATGGTATAGCAAATGCCACCAAATACCATAGCCAAGTTCTATACCCAGTTATAGTATTTTCCTTGCCAAGTCCAAACATAAGCAAAGTGAGACAGTCATGTCTGTGATATATTTGATGAATACCAAAAGGCCCTCGTGTGCCTAAATATCAAGCAACTAAGCAACAAGCATTTATTACACACCTACTATGTACCAGACACTGTTCTATGTACTAGGAATACCAAATAACCAGCCAATCTCTTCCTCTGAGGAGCATATATTCTATCATGGAAGACAAAATACATATATGTGTATATACACATACATATACGCATATATTGCGTGTGTTTGTGAGTGTCTTTTTGTCTACATGTGTGTATTTTGTGTCTATGTGTGTAAATATATTAATTATATATATATATATAAATTATACAGAAATTAAAAACAAAATAATTTTCTGGGAAAGGCACCATCAGCTGCAGAGGGACAGAAAAGTCCTTGTGTGGATGACCTATTACCTCATTAATCTTGCCAGGCCTCTCTGAATGCAGACCAAGATTCCATTTGCATTTTTTTGGGTTGGGATATCATACTTCTGCCTCATATTGAACTTGCAGTCCATGAAACCCCCTGAATCTTTTAGTAAACAAATCACCACATAACCATGCTTCCTTTATTTTATTCTTGTAAAGCTGACTTCTTAAAACCAAGTACAAGGCTTTATATTAAATTTAATTAATTAAATTTAATTTTCTACAATTAAATTTCATGTTATTGGATTTTTTTTTGGCGAGGCAATGAGGTGAAATGACTTGCCCAGGGTCACACAAGTAGGAAGTATCAAATGTCTGAGGTCACATTTGAACTCAGGTCTTCCTGAATGCAGGACCGGTGCTATATTCACTGAGCCATCTAGTTGCCTCTATACGTTATTAGATTTTGAACAATTCTTTTACCCGTGGAAATCTTTGGATCTTGAC